ATAATGGAAGCTTCTCAAGGTTGTGGGGGGTCCCTGAGTGCACATATGGGTGAACGATACCATCCCAAAGCATTCAAAAATCATGAATAAGGCCTCAGGAAATCATGAAATTGCTTAAAAATCTATTAGCGTTCTTCTTCTTTGTCTTCTGGATTCTGAGCCTTTAGGGTGTACTTGGGTCACATTTTCAAATTTTCCTCTGCAACTGTGAGGGCTAGGAATAATGAAAGATGAGATTCTCATTGAATCATTTGACTCCAGGAGCTTGAGCTTTAGTAAAAACACCAAATATTGTGAGATATGTGATAAAATCATAGAATCACAGGACTGGAAGGGACCTCAAGAGGCCATTGGATCCAGTCCTCTGCACCCATGGCAGGATTAAGTATTATTTAGACCATTACTGACAGGTGTTTGTCTAACCTGCTCTTAAAAATCTCCAGTGATGGAGATTCCACAACTTCCCTAGGCAATTTATTCCACTGCTTAAGTACCCTGACAGTTAAGTACCCTGAAGATTTCTCTAATGTCCAACCTAAACTGACCTTGCTGCAATTTAAGCCCATTGCTTATTGTCCTATCCTCAGAGGTTAAGGAGACTAATTTTCCTCCCTCCTCCTTGTAACAACCTTTTATGTACTTGAAAACTTATCATGTCCCCTCTCAGTCTTCTCTTCTCCATACTAAACAAACCCAATTTTTTCAATCTTCCCTGATAAGTCATGTTTTCCAGACCTTGAATCATTTTTGTTGCTCTTTTCTGGACTTTCTCCAATTTGTCCATATCTTTCCTGAAATGCGGTGCTTAGAACTGGACACAATACCCCAGTTGAGGCTTAATCAGCATAGAGTAGAGCGGAAGAATTACTTCTCATGTCTTGCTTACAACACTACTGCTAACATCCCAGAATGATTTTTTTTTTGCAACATGGTTACACTGTTGACTCATATTTAGCTTGTCATCCACTATGACCCCCAGATTTCTTTCTGCAGTACTGCTTCCTAGCCAGTCCATTTTTTATGTGTGCAACTGATTCTTCCTTTGTCAGTGGAGTACTTTGCATTTGTCCTTAGGCCTTGGCTACACTTGCGAGTTACAGCGCTGTAAAGCCTCCCCCAGCACTGTAACTCACTCCCCGTCCACACTGGCAGGGCACTTACAGTGCTGTATCTCCCTGGGTACTCCGCTGCAGATACTCCACATCTCCAAGAGGAATAACAGCTGCAGCAGAGTGGGTACGACTCACAGGTGTGAGTGTAAACGCTTGCAGCGCTGTATTATCACCTTGTCAAGTGGCCAATCCTCTCCATTGTTGTGATGGGCTGCAGGAATGCAGAAGTGCCAGTTTCAAAGCTCGTACAACAGAGAAAAAGCAAACATTTTGCTGTTTGCTTTTAGTGAGTGAATGAATGAGCAGGGGGCCGGGAGTTCGGAACTTGCAAAATTGAGAGCTGACATGCTCCAAAAAGCACTCTCTCTACCCCCACACTCCCTGTCTCACCCCACCCCACCCGTTTTGAAAAGCACGTTGCAGCCACGTGAATGCTGGGATAGCTGCCCATAATGCACCAGTCCCAACACAGCTGCAAATGTTGCAAGTGTGGCCACGCCACTGCGCTGGCAGCTGTCAGTGTGGACAGACTGCAGCGCTTTTCCCTACTCAGCTGTACGAAGACAGGTTTACCTCACAGCTCTGTACAGCTGCAAGTGTAGCCAAGGCCTTACTGAATGTCATCCTATTTACTTTAGAGCATTTCTCCAGATCATTTTGAATTTTAATCCTATCCTCTAAAGCACTTACAACCCCTTCCTGTTTGGTATTGTTCGCAAACTTTATAAGTGTACTCCCTGTGCCATTATCGAAATAATTGATAAAGATATTGAACAGAAGCAGACCTATAACTCATCTCTGCAGGACCCCACTTGATATGCCCTTCCAGCTTGACTGTGAAACACTGATAAATACTCTCTGGGAATGGTTTTCCAACTAGTTATGCCCCCACCTTATAGTAGCCCCATTTAGGTTGAATTTCCCTAGTTTGTTTATGAGAAGATCATATGAGACAGTATCAAAAGCCTTACATATTCCGCATTCCCCCATCCACAAGGCTTGTTACCCTGTCAAAGAAAGCTATTAAGTTGGTTTGACAGGATTTGTTCTTGACAAATCCATGGTGATCGTCACATAGCACCTTATTGTCTTCTAGCTGTTTGCAAATTGATTGCTTAATTATTTGCTCCATTATTTCCAGGTACTGAAGTTAAGATGACTGGTCTGTAATTTCCCAGGTTGATATTGTTTGACATTTTACAGCTTTTAGTACTGTGCATCATTTATTGCCATTTTCATGCTGAGATTTTTCAAGGTCACCCTGGTTCTCCTTATTTCCCTTTTTATGGATTGGCATTATATTTGCCCTCTTCTATGACCTTTTGAAGATAATCGCTAATGACTCAGATATTTCCTCAGTGGATATTCTCTAAAAGGAATAAAGACATGCAATTGTGAGACTGAAGACTTTGGTGAGAAGTTTGATGAAAATGATGTGATTGCGTGTTTTGCTAATTTTGAAGGCGATGAAGTGGAACTCTCGTATTCCAGGATCTTGGTGTTGCATTCAAAATCAGTAAGGAAGTTCTTGATGGGCCACCACTCTTCCCACATGTTCTCTGCCATAACTGTGCAATTGAATTCAACTTTGGTCAGAAGGATGAACCCTACTTTCCCATACCTGAAGAGTATAGCTTCATTCAGAAGGTTCCATTAGAAGATCGGGTTAGAGGACCAAAGGGACCTGAACAAAAGAAAGACTGTGAAGTGGTAATGATGATTGGCTTGTCTGGAGCTGGTAAGACTACATGGGTTTCCAAACATGCAGCAGAAAACCCTGGAAAATACAATATCCTTGGAACAAATACTATTATGGACAAAATGATGGTTGCAAGTTTTAAGCGGCAGATGGCTGACACTGGAAAACTTAACACACTGTTGCAGAGAGCTCCACAGTGTCTTGGCAAGTTCATTGAGATTGCCGCTCGTAAAAAGCAGAACTTCATTTTGGATCAGACAAATGTGTCTGCAGCTGCGCAGAGGAGAAAAATGTGCCTGTTTTCCCATATTCCAGGATATTTCCTCAGTCAGTTCCTTGAGTATTCTAGGATGTATTTCATGGGGCACTGTTTTCTTGTTACACTTTGTCTCTCACTCGTTTAATCTCATTTTGTGCCTTCACCTTTCTACTTTTGTCTCTACGTACTTGCATTATTTGTTTATACTCATCCTTTGTAATGTGACCTAGTTTTCACTTTTTGTAAGACTCTTTTTTAAATTTGAGATCATTGACGATCCCCTGGTTAAGCCAACGTGGTCTGTTGCCATACTTGATATCTTTCCTTTGCAGTGGAATAATTTGCCCTAGTGCCCTTAATAATGTTTCTTTGAAAAACTGCCAACTCTCTTGAACTGTTTTTTCCCCTTTGACTTGCTTCCCCCGGGATCTTACCTATCAAGTCCCTGAGTTTGCTAAAGTCTACCTTCTTGAAATCCATTGTCTATACTGTGCTGTTCCCCACCTACCATTCCTTATAATCATGAACGCTATCATTTCATGATCATTTTCAAATTCTTAACCAATTCCTCCCTATTTGTCAAAATCAAATCCAGAACAGCCTATCTCCTAGTAGCTTTCTCCACCTTCTTAAAAAAACAGTCTCTAATACATTCCAAGAACTTGCTGGATAATCTTTGCCCTGCTGTATTATTTTCCCAACACATGTCTGGGTATAGTGGCGGATTAGCCACTGAGCCAGTGAGGCCCATGCCCAGGGGCCCCAGCCAATTGGAGCACCCCAAAAAAATGGACGCCCCCACGCCCTGACCCTCCTCCTCGGCAGGAGAGCTAGGTGGCGGGGAAACCCCAGCACCCAGACCCAGCTGCAGCCCCAGGCATAGGTGTAGTTTGGGGGATGCAGAGCGGAGGCATTTCCCTCCCAAACACAAACGAGGCAAGAGGGGTCACATGCCACTCCCACCCAGTTTTTGCAAGTGCTGCCCCTACCTCAC